CAAAAATCGTGGCAGTGTTGGTGAGAATATCTAAATTCTTTCAATTAACATTTATATCTATAAATTTAGGCGGATATTTTCTGGCTGGCCGTTCAATGCATTTCATACCGGTAATCATTTTTACAATATATCATATTTGTTTTCATTTATAGTTGTAGGTTGGTGCTTCATTATTTGCATCAAATATCGGTAGTGGTCATTTCATTGGTTTAAGTGGATCTGGCGCTTCAAGTGGTATCGCTGTTGCTGGCTTTGAAATCGGTGTAAGTATATTAACAGAAAATAAAAGTAATTTTTTTTTGTTAAAATATCTAATAGGCAGTATATATGCTTATGATACTTGGATGGTTATTTGTACCAGTTTATATGAAAGCAGAAGTATTTACAATGCCTCAATATTTAAAAATGCGTTTTGGTGGTGAACGTATACGTGTTTATTTAACATGTCTTGCATTGATGTTATCAATTTTTACGAAAATATCTGTTGATCTTTATTCCGGTGCTGTTTTTCTTCAACAAGCACTTAATTGGAATCTTTATGTATCAGTTATTGCTCTTATTCTTCTTGCTGCTTTTTTTACTGTTGGTGGTAAATAGAAATAAATTTTTATTTCTACAAAAAAAATATACTTTCTAGGTGGTTTAACAGCAGTTATTTGGACAGATTTTATTCAAACAATAATTATGATTATATCTGCTTTTATTCTTATGATTATTAGTAAATAATTTCTAGATTAAAAAAAAAATAGAAATATTTTGAAATAGGTTTTATGAAAATTGGTGGTCTTCAACAAGTACGAATTCTTTTTCCATATGCAATTGCTAATACAACATTACATAATACAACAGAATGTGGTGTTCCAAATGAAAATTATTTTTCATTAATTCGTCCATTCGATGCCGATCTACCATGGTTTGGTTTAATATTCGGATCAGCAGTTGTTTCTGTATGGTATTGGAGTTGTGATCAAGTAATTGTTCAACGAACATTAGCAGCAAAAAATTTAACACATGCAAGAGCAGGATGTCTTTTTGCAGGAATTTTAAAATTTTTACCTTTATTTCTAATGATATTTCCTGGTAAATAATTTCTTTTTTATAAATTATAATTTTCTATAGAATATAAATAAAATAGGTATGGTTGCACGAATACTTTTTCCAGGTATGACATATTCTTTGATTTAAATCGAATACACAAATTTATTCTATAGATGAAATCGGTTGTGCTGATCCAGATGTTTGTTATCAAGTTTGTGAAAGTCGAAATGGTTGTAATGATATAGCATATCCTCTTCTTGTACTTCGATTAATGCCCAATGGTAAATCTTTAGTTTATTTTTTCAAGAAAAAAATCTTTTTCTTCTTCTAAGCAATTCGAGGTTTAACATTAGCATGTATGATTGCTGCTCTAATGTCATCATTAACATCTATATTTAATTCAAGTTCAACAATATTTACAATTGATATATGGCAACGTTTTCGTAAAAATGCGCATGACTGGGAATTAATGATTGTTGGCAGGTAAGTTATTAATTCTATTAAAATAAATATAATTATTTCTTTTAAGAGTTTTTGTAATGATTCTTGTGGCTATTTCAATTCTTTGGATTCCAATTATTCGAGCAGCACAAGGTTCGAGATTATTTGATTATATTCAAGCTGTTCAATCATTTTTAGCTCCTCCTGTTGCTGCTTGTTATCTATTAGGTGTACTATGGAAACGTATAAATGAAGAAGTAAATCAGTATTTGAGAAAAAAAATCAAAAGAAATTATTTCTTATATTTAGGGAGCATTTTGGGGTCTTATATCAGGTTTATTTGTTGGTATGGTTAGATTTATATGGGAATATTCATATACAACAATGCCATGTCAATTGGAACATCTCGATAAACGTCCATCAATAATTCGTTTTAATTTCTTATATTTTTCTATTCTACTTTTTCTTATATCTGCTATTGTTACAATTGTTGTAAGTCTTCTTACAAAACCTATTCCAGATAAATATGTATGATAATTTCATGAAAAGAATTTAAAACAAAAACATATATTTTCTATTATTTAGATATCGGGTTTAACTGCATTTGATCTCGATAATCCTGACAGACCCATTGAAATTCCAACACAATCTGGTTGTATGTACAAAGCAAATACAGATGATAATGATGAAGAACAGCAACCATATTCATTTGTAGATCACATAGAAAAAATTCCAACTGACACAGAACAGAAAACATTACATTTTTTTGAAACAAGTATTGTACACAATGTATAGTTATTAATTCAATTAATTTTCAATTATTCTCAGGTGATTCAAGTGGATTCGTTTTTTATTTAAAAACTGCTTTTGCTTGGATTTGTGGATTGGAAAAAAATATGGAGCTTGATGAACAATCAATACGTTCATATGATAGTACAAGTAATCGAAGAAGTATAAGTATTACGACTGAATCAAATATTTCTTCATGGCATAGTCAATGTTCTTATG